CCTATGTGTTTAATGCCAGGAAGTCATAGGGTAAATCCTAGGCCTAGGGCAATTTTCTGACAAGATTTGCTATATGTATATGTATTTATGTATACAGGGATGTATGTATGAGTGCATGACATACATAACTCAGGGTCTAGCACATGCTAAGCACATGTTCTATCCCTGAACTACTATACATCCAACCAAGACATTCACTATTTCAAAAGATCAGAATCTTGGACTAAAAGCAGAGCTTGGAAGAAGTTTTCCTCCCAAACCAAGAAACGCATGTACGATATTACCAAGAGGAGAGCATCTGGTTTGTACCTGATGCTTCCAAACTCGAGGAACCTGTCACCTTGTGAGGGAAGCTAGACATTTACGTTAGACAATTCTTCCCTATATCATGTCCTTAGGACCACCTGTCTCGACTGAAGCAGCCCCCTCCCCCCTGCACGAAGGCCTGCACGCAGCTCTCCTGCTGCTCCTGTTTCCAGCGCAAGCACCACCAGACACGCCACTGCTCTTATTTTGGACTCCATTCACAAGCCCATCAATCCATCTGATACCAAACGCCTCATCACAGAAGGGGCTGGGAACACAGCAGAGGGAAGAAAGATCCATGTCCAAAGGAAGTTGATATTTAGTAAGAGAAACATATCATTTCAAACACTCATACTCACATATCTAGACTTTGATTAAATGTTATGAAATAAACATGAAGGGTGTATTTGGGTTAGAACTCCAGGGAAGATCTGGTCTGGGGAAGGGGCATGTGAAGTCCCAACAGAGAAGAGTGAGAATACGCATGCAAAGTGTTAGGAAAGGGGAACGGGGGTGGGGGGGTGGGGGGTGGCAGGAACAGTTGTGCACCAAGGACCTGAGGCTGGTGTCAACATCTCATGAGAAAAGATGCAAAAGGCATGGCTGAGGGTACAGATGGGGCCAAGTGGGTCACAGCAGCCATCAGGCCACAGGCAACATTCTAGATTGTTCTAGATTTAAATGCAGCAGAGGAGCAGTGTTAGTACCCTTCACACCTGGGCTGTTTCTTATTTCCCAATATAAAACACTCCAACTTCTCAACATCACTAAAGGTTGGTAATACACTTAAGATGTGATCAGCCTAGTGAACAGGTCTACAAACTAAGGAGAGTTTCTTTTTTTAATGTAGTAAGAAGTTGCAACTGATTTATACATTCAGGTCACTGGTCATTAAAAAAAAAGTCAATTTTTTTTTTCAGATGAACTACTAACAAGTCATCCTCTCCATGCTTTTATACCTGACTCTGCAACAAAATCAGGGCACTATAATATATGTGTGTGTGTATGTATTACATGTGTATATGTATATATGTACAGCGAGAGAGAGGGAATTGGGGAAATTGGGTTTCACTGGAACAAAGTGAACAGCATAAACCAGCTCATTTCTAACTCACGTCATGTTAGCCTGTGACGATGGCTCCTGATGTTTAGCCCCTCCCCATAACAGCACTTTCTCGGGGGCTCCAGCTTACCACGGGACTCACCTTCAACAACATCCCTCTTGTAATCACTGTCATTGTCACTGTCTGTTGGCCGGTAGTAGATATAAAATCCTTGAATGGGAGTGTTATTGTTACTTGACGGAATATACTAGGAAACAGAAGCAAAGACTTGTCAAAGGCAAAAATAAGAGTAATCTCCAAATTTCCTCGTCTGTACGGCAATGTTTCTCTAGCTTTGTTTTGCAATATGTATAGTGGCCATTTTCTAACCTGATTCGGAGATATTCAAAGGTATATGACCATTTATCATATTGCAGGACTAAACAAAAATAAAACAGTATACACTTCACTAGCTTCAAAACTAAATGTACACTTGGTTCAAAAAGAATACATCATAAAGTGTCAATTAAGTTAACAACATTTGGATGAGGGCAAAATAAAAACGATAATTCCATTTTAACCCTGTCTCTTAGAATATGTGCTCTAGACAAACACCAGTGCCCTTCTACGTCCCCACAATTAAAAGTTCAACAACTGGCTGCCCGTAGCATCACATCGCGAGCACATTACGCTGACAGGAGATCTCACTGAGAAGATGTCCACTCACGTACCGTCCACTTTAGCATGATTTGAGAGTCGCTGACAGCCTCTGTGTATGCGATGTGAGGTCCAGCTACTGGGCGGTTGGAGAAACGATTTGGGAAGCCAGCCACCTGGTAAGGCCGGGATGCTGAGCTCCGAAAACTCTCACCATAATGGTTGATAGCAATGACCCTAAATTTGTATGTTGAACCTGGGAGATGGGGCAAAATCAAAACGTTTTAAACTATAAAAACCTGTAATGATGTTGTGGTGCATCTAAAGAATAAGATAAAATCTTGAAGTGAGTGTCCTCATCACTCAAATACAATCACTGGAAGATTTTCAGTCTAGAAAGTGTCACTTGGTTCCAACACCCATATCTAAAACTGTTGTTTCTTCTCAACTAACTGCATCTGTTCCCCCACGACATACAGTTAGACACAGACATCTGGTACATCTGTGAATATTTAAAATTCCAGGAGCTAAAGTGGTCCTGAGCCCCCCAAAAAGAATAAATTTATTCACACTTTTTTCTCCTTTTTAATAGTCTCAAGGTTTGGGGGTGAATGGGATTAGAGAAACAACTTAAAATCCAGAAATGAAATGGTTAAGGGGTGGTGATGTGGCTCAGTGGTAGAGTGCTTGTTTCACATGCACAAGGCCTTGGCTTCAATCTCCACCACTAAAACAACATCAACAGCAACACAAATAGTTAAGCAAAGTATGATACACTTACAGAGTTGGATATAAAATGAGGGATGCAAAACTGTATTTATGACAAGACTCCAGGGCATATAAAGACATAGAGAAAAACAAAAGACTAGAAAGAAATATACCAAAACATAAACCCTGTCTATGGGTGGGTTATAGTTCAGATAACTTATTCTCTTCTTCATATTTTCTTTACTTTCAAATTTTTCTACAATAAGCATTTGTTACCTCAAAAAATAGCAAATAAAAAAAAAGTATTATTACCTGGTTCTAAACTACGAACTTCCACAGAAAGTTTGGAAGGAGGGATATCTTCAGCGGCCACCAGCCAGTCACTAGTCCTCATCCGTTTATATTCCACCTTGAAGGCAGTGATTGGAGAACCGCCATTCGCCCGGGGAATCCAGGTGACATAGACGGAGGTCTCCGATGCCGTAGAGATGGTAGGCCGGTCTGGCGCCTCTGGGACTGAAAATTGGAACATTTATTTCACCATCGCCACAGTGCCAGAGGCAGGAATAACCCCAAAGCACTATGACGGGTAAATCCCAAACCCTGTGTTAAAGGTCCCTCATCAATTTTTTTGTCATAGCTAATAATATTACAGCCTGTCTCCCTGTCCTCTTTAAAAGCTAATGGGAAATAAAATGTACAGGAAAGGAAATACAGGAAACTGGAAAGTCGAATGATTACAGATATGATAATTAACTCACAAAGAATGAAAGTTAATGAATATGATCGTTTCTGCTATTCTATTTTAGATGTATGACTAAAGCTGTGTGCAAGTAATTATTTGATTTTGGTTATGATATGTAAACAATTCTCACAAACGTTTTCTTATTTGAAATGTTTTCCAAATTACATAAAACAAACCCAACAACCTACTGATTGTTATACTAACTGTTACGATTACCCTCCTTGAATATGCCTCAAAGGCTTCAGGAATTGCTGCTTTTGAAACACAGCCTGTCAGCACATGCACAGATGAACCAGGACAAAATCAATACTAACAAGGTAACAAGGGAAGGAGAGGATGCGAGGGAGACAGGAACAGAGCCACGGAAGGACGAGGACACAAACACAGAAAAGTGGGTGAGAGATCATGTCCCACTACCACAAGGCGCAGGTGCTGTCCTATGTCACAGGTTAGGACTAGACCCTGTGGCAGATGGGAAACACTGGGAGTGAGGCCACCGGCACTTAAATGGGGGACCTAACTTCCTTTGCTGAGCAAGCAGGCTGGTGGTTGTAAGTGGCTTCCTTCGTGATTCCTACAAGGACGGCCCACGGAATAGTTACACTGAACCCCAGTAAACTGCCACTCTGCTTCCACATTAGCCACCTGTGAAGTCTGTGGACATCCCAGGAGGCCAGTGGGTCTTTCGGATGCTGACAGTGAGTTGCTAAAGCTGGACATAGAAGGCTGACCTGGGCCACGATATTGGTGAAGCCACTAACGAAGCTGTATCTTTCTCCTGGGTCCATGCCTCTCAAGCAACTTGTTTGATCCCAGAATCATTTTAACTCTCATTTCTAAGGCATATGAAGGAAGTCACATTGAACATGGTACTTGTGTGCAGAAAACCAGGGTGTTTTACAAAAGAAATGGCTTATGGAATAAACAGAAGAAGGCATTAGCAGACAACTGCAGGTGATACTTACTGTATTCCTTTCCACTAGAAAGCAATGGAAAGAAACAGAATGAGCAGAAATGTTAATGCGGGTCTTTACTGAAAATCAAGCGACTTTCTCAGTATGACTGTGCAAGGTTCAAACTCACCAAATGCCACAGGTCAAAGAAGAAAGAAGGTCACTGAGGAGAACATGTCTACAGAGAAGAGCACACTCAGTCTCTTTCACACGGAAGCTGCACTGGGAAGACGTGGATTCCCACAGCAGCTCCACCACTGTCTAGCCCACTGAGACCTCAGCACATCAGTTACCTCATCTGGGAAGCAGACAGGCTCCCCTCCTCAAGAAGCAGTTGTAAACAGCAAACAAATCATTTCCTATGTGTATTTCAGTTTGGAGAATTCCAAACTCACAATCTTCACCTCCAATCTTTTCTCAACCATCCACCTTTTAAATGGTCCCGTGTGCCCACACCCGAGCGAGCTTCCTCCCTGTCGTTCAACGTAGATCCGGTCACCCTAGCCTCAGCTCTGCCCTCCCTCTTTCATATTTCTCTAGGTGCGTCTTTCGAGTTTCTTCCTCTTTAAAATCCTTTAGGGCTTTTTTGAAGGGGTAGCATGAATGCAGTCCCCCACTACCACAAATTATATAGTCAAGTTCCTAGAATTTTGGGAAATCATAGGGGCCAATACATCCAAAGTATAATAAAGGAATTTCATCCTGGGGAGACCATCTTCATGATCCTGGAATCTCCCTTTCCAAGTTAAGTACTAGGACTCTTGATAGCTTCTAGGAAAAAGATTACATCTTTAAAATGTCTTATTTTATTTTATTTATTCATTTATTTATGTATGTATTTATTTATCATGGGTAGAGAGGCATATGACACAGCACAGGTGTGGAGGTCAGAGAACAATTTGCAAACTCCATTTCTCTTCTTTCACCAGGTGGGTCCCAGAGGTCAAAGTTGGGCTATCAGGCAATGTGTCCCCACTCACTGGCCGAGATCACACTTGTAAGTGTGTCATATAAGACATGGGCACCTACCTGCTTCCTTACACTATCATCATCTCCAACAACAATAAATAAGTCACACTAAATAACTGAATGTAACATGTCATCTGTCCATCTGCATAAGGTATCTTTGCCTTTCCTGCTCCTTCATCTGGAGGCATCATTCTTGTCTTCTGAGGCTTAGCTCAAGATGCCGAGCAACTGTGTGAACCGCTATGTGCCCTCCTTTGTATCAGGGTGAGTTGAGTATCTCTCCTGAGGGTCCATGTCACCAGGAGCATAAGCATGAGCAGAATGGACAAGCTGGCTGTTACTGGCATGCCTGTGTACACTATCCATCCTACTGCTTGCTATGGGCTTAGCTGCCTCTTCTGTTTTTAGCAGTTAGTTTCCTGGTGTGTGTGTGTGTGTGTGTGTGTGTGTGTGTGTGTGTGTGTGTGTGTGTGTGTGTGTGTGTGTGTGTTCAGATGTCTGTATCACCCACTGTGCTTTAGATCCTTGAGAGCAAGGATTATTTTTATCTCTGCTGTGCTGGCAGTCAGTAACTTCTACATGTTGGGTTAAGGAACTAGTAAAGTATTCGCTTTTACTCTCATAAAGCTGGTAGTCATGTAAGTACTGTGCAAAAGGTAACTGAAAAGTAGCTCTGAAGTGGAAGTCCTGTAAGGTTCAACTTCAGGCCTAAACACATGCACACATGTACACCACACACACACACACACACACACACACACACACACACACACACACACACACACACACACAGTAGCTCTTCGGGGAGAACATAACCTAAATAACAAATGTCCCATTCTGTCCTATCTCCCCCAGTGAAACAGGACACTGACATTTATAAACAAACAAGATGAAGATTCTTTACCTCCACTATGCCTAGAGGAATCCGTAAGCACAACTCCAAAATTGCTGTTGGAAGTCTCTGAAATAACAGGACGCTTAGGGATGCCCACAGGTGGAAAGGATGCCTGGGTGTTTTTTGACGATGCCATTTTTTCTGTAAAGTATTTTTTAAAAAGCAATAAGCTTATATATGTGAAATAAAAACAAAACAAAAAATGACTATGAGCCGTGACTAGCTATTAAGATATATATGTCTGTGTCTAAACGCAATTTCACCCCCCCCCCCCCCCACAAGCTTAGCTGATGTAAGAACTAGGACAAAGTTGCTTGGTCTTTCTGTAGCATCATTAAAAGAAAGCTAAAATGTGTCTTTCTTCGTGGTACTATTGAACTGACACATGGAAAACACAACTGTGACTGTTGGTTTGGATGTAAGCTTGCCACAAGTTAGAACCACCTGAGAGGGGAGCCTTGAGTGAAGAACTGTCCTGCCTGCCTTAACTGCTGTGGAAGACCCACCCCAGGCCTCTGGCAGCAGACCAGACTTGCTCACTTGGCTTCCCTTTGCTGCAGATTGGTTCCCCCAGCTGCTGCTGTTGCTCATCCAGGGTTTCCAGTCCCCATGGCTGACTGAGGGCAAACAGCTCTCCAGGAACCTTCCAGGTCTGCAGCACCAGACTGGGACCACTGAGGCACCAAGCCTCCCAGACTAAGCAAGTAGCAGGTTGTTGGCTCTCCAGCGAGAGACAGCCACTGTGGGACTGCTCCGACAGCTGAGGCCCTGGGCCTCAAAGACCAAGCACCTTCCGAGGTTCTTAGCCTCTCAGCTGTGAGACACTGTTGGCACACTTAATACGAGTCAGTTTAAAAGTCATGTCTATGTCTGTCTATGTCCCTCTCTGTCTATGTCTATGTACATCTCGGCCTATGTCTGTCTATGTGTATATGTATATGCATGTTTATGTCTATGTATGTGTATGTTTGTCTATGTCTCTCCATGTGTACCCATATGTGTATATATATGTATGTGTATGTCTATCTGTCCACGTGTATTTATATGTGTATATGTATGTGTTTGTCTATATGTGTACATGTATATCTATGTCTACGTACTTGTATTGGTTCTGTACCTCTAGAAAACCTTGACTAACACAACAACATGAGCAGGAAAGCCAATGAGGACTTGAGCGAAGGTTCTGATTTTCCTTTTTGCTGCAGATATTCGTTCCAAAATAATATTCACAATTAAGGAGCTTCATTAAGTTGTTTTCCCACAGAAAAATGCCATGCTAACTTTTAATGTTTCAACAAGCAAAAGTGAAATTTGGTTTTGTTGTTTTTTTAGTTTTTAAACAGAAACAGCTATTCAGCAGTTATAGGTCAGACTATAAATAACTAGGACTAAGTGGTGAAAACTAACTGAACATTAATTTAAAATGGGAAGTACTCATTTCTGCCCCACAGTGAGTCAATGAAAGTCTTTTCCCAAAGGCACCGGATGAGTCCTTCCCAATCCTCTGAGGCCATTTCTCTTACAGCACTGTGTTGTGGAATATTTGTTTAACTATGTAAAGATGTGTTGCTGTTTTGCCTGGCCTGCCTAAGGTACCTGATTCTAATAAAAGGTACCTGGTCTAATAAAAAACTGAATGGCCAATAGCAAGGCAAGAGGTATGGGTGGAACTTCAGGGAAGGGAGGGTAAGTAGGAGGAGGAATTTAGGTTTAGAAAGAAAGAAAAGGAGATGATAGGGAGACACCAGAGGCTAGCCAGACAGGCACAGAAGAAGCAGGAAAGTAGGACATACAGAATGAAAAAAAGGCAAAACATAGATTAAAAGAAACAGGATAAATTAAATGAAAAGAGCTAGTGGAACAAGCCTAAGCGAAGGTTGAGCGTTCATAATTAATACTAAGTCTCCATGTCTTTATTTGGGAGCTGGTTGGAGGCCCAAAGAAAATTCCAGCTACAGCACTGGGGTAGAACCTGCTTCTTCAGGGATCCCCCTCCACCTCTGAAGTATGTCCCTGTATTTAGACCACTCCAGCATAGTGTCTTCCACCTGGACTCCCCTCACAAGCTGTTCATCAAGAAGATCCTTCTGGAATTCTGTCATGATACTGCTCACATTGTCTCTTTTCTCTGTCCTACCCTCCTTCATTACACTTGACTCCATAACTCCAGCCCAAACATTCAGCTCCTCCTTTCTCACTGGGCGTCACCAGCAAAGCCTTGTCAAGTTCCACGGAGTGATGTGTGACCCAGCCATACTGTCACACACACACACCCAGACATCTTCCCTCCTTGCTCCATCACAGAAGCCCCTTTGGTGTTTTTAGTGTGCACACCAAGCACTTTCTTTCTGCTGATGTATAAGGCTTTTTACTTCCCCTTCTTTAAACATCTCACTGCTAATCCTGACCATATCCCTAGCCACCTACTTACAGTAACTCCAACTCAGAGTCCATCCCTGAAGTTACTTCTTTGTTAACACCACCCCCTAAGGTGCTTAGAACTTGGCTGTATGCTCCTCCCATCTAGAACATGGACTCCATAAGGACTAGCTTTGTCTATTTTCTGTACTGCCAATGCATGAACAGCATTTCTTAAGTCCCAGAATCAAGTTGGATTTTGTCTGGAACTGTTATCCGAGTGTGCACTTTACCTTCCTCATCAGAGTGTAAGCTCCACTGGGCTGGATCTCAACCTGACTACCTCTGACACACCTGCTTTGCCCATCTTAATGCTGCTGATCATGAACTTGCAAAAGTACGTATGGATTATTACAATGGAATAAATAATACAACCCCTTAAGTGTAGTCTCCAAAAGGTGCTACAGTATGCATGTGTAACGGATTTTATATCTTAGGATTTCTACTGTCCAGTGGGTTTATACTGGTAAATTGACGTTAAGTAACCAGTTTACTCTGACAGAAGATGGCACTCACCTTTGCTGGTCCGGAAGGTAAGCATGGCAGGCTGCCCTTCACCGGCTGCACTTCTAGCCACCATCAACACTTCATACAGACTTGACGGCTCCAGCTCAGTTAGATGCAGCTCATTTTCACTTCCTGGGACACGAACCGTGTGCCAGCTGCCCACTGCACCAGTACCATCATCCAGCTGCTCAAGAGAATCCCAGAATAATGAGAGATGGAGGACAGGAAACCTTTCTTCCCAATCACAAAAATCTAGTATTCATTTAATTTAATTTAATTCTAGAGGAGTTTGCAGAAGTGATGTATTATTGTAAGCAAGAGATACATTTGTCTTATGGAATGTATTACTCTCATTAAATTAGAGGGGTTTTTAAGTTTTGCTTTAATACAAACCTGCAGAGGAAAAGTATCACCCAAAGAATCAACAGATGAGGCCCAAGCATGATGAAAATAAATAACCAAACCATTTAAGGCTCTAGTACCACTAAGAGGCCAGCCTACAATGTGACAGTCACAGACAATGCCAGAGGGCCTTGCTCCAACAGGTACCCTTTATTTGACGAGTATTCTACCTTCTTAGCAAAGGAGAGAACTAAGGTTTTCAAAGTAGTTTACAGCATTTGATGCCCAGTGGATTAAAACAAGAGGTTTCATTAGAACACAGTAAGTGACGGGGCTAGAGGTAGAGCTCAGTGGTAACCTCTAGCCTAGCTTGAAGCCTTGAGTTCCACCCCCAGCACAGGGTGGGAGGGAGGGAATGAGAGAGGGGGAATGTTATGGTTACTTTGGATTCACACGTCTATTTGGGGGAAAAAATACTTCATTCATATGGTTTCCTAAGATCTGTCAATCTAGCATGACTGATGGAGATACCTCTGACAAACCTAGTCTAGAACACTCACCTTTCTACCCTCCCACAAATGTGAAACATAATAAGCAAATGTTACACACACACACACACACA